ACACACTCTGGACCTGGCAGCAGCATGGCAGTACAGGGGCCCATGACAGAAGCCTGGCAGCAGCAGCATGAGGAGTCGGTACGGGGGCCCATGGCAGATTACGGGCCTGGCAGCAGCAATGGGAGGCCCGTAATCTGCCAGCACCCTATGACAAAATGGAACCCACCAGCAGTGTTGTGAGGAGACCTGAAAGTGGCACATGGCAGAGTGTGTGGCGATGGAGACAGCAGCAATGGGAGGCCGTACAGGGACCCATGACACACTCTGGACCTGGCAGCAGCATGAGGAGGCGGTACAGGGGCCCATGACAGATTACGGGCCTGGCAGCAGCATGAGGAGTCGGTACGGGGGCCCATGGCAGATTACGGGCCTGGCAGCAGCAATGGGAGGCCATAACAGCACCCTATGACAAAATGGAACCCACCAGCAGTGTGAGGAGACCTGAAAGTGGCACATGGCAGAGTGTGGCGATGGAGACAGCAGCAATGGGAGGCCGTACAGGGACCCATGAGACACTCTGGACCTGGCAGCAGCATGAGGAGGCGGTACAGGGGCCCATGACAGATTACGGGCCTGGCAGCAGCAGAGGAGTCGGGGGGGCCCATGGCAGATTACGGGCTGGCAGCAGCAGCAATGAGGCCGTACAGCACCCTATGACAAAATGGAACCCACCAGCAGTGTGAGGAGACCTGAAAGTGGCACATGGCAGAGTGTGGCGATGGAGACAGCAGCAATGGGAGGCCGTACAGGGACCCATGACACACTGTGGACCTGGCAGCAGCATGAGGAGGCGGTACAGGGGCCCATGGCAGATTACGGGGCCTGGCAGCAGCAGCAGCCAATGGGAGGCCCGTAATCTGCCAGCACCCTATGACAAAATGGAACCCACCAGCAGTGTGAGGAGACCTGAAAGTGGCACATGGCAGAGTGTGGCGATGGAGACAGCAGCAGCAATGGGAGGCCGTACAGGGACCCATGACACACTGTGGACCTGGCAGCAGCATGAGGAGGCGGTACAGGGGCCCATGGCAGATTACGGGCCTGGCAGCAGCAATGGGAGGCCCGTAATCTGCCAGCACCCTATGACAAAATGGAACCCACCAGCAGTGTGAGGAGACCTGAAAGTGGCACACATGGCAGAGTGTGGCGATGGAGACAGCAGCAATGGGAGGCCGTACAGGGACCCATGACACACTGTGGACCTGGCAGCAGCATGAGGAGGCGGTACAGGGGCCCATGGCAGATTACGGGCCTGGCAGCAGCAATGGGAGGCCCGTAATCTGCCAGCACCCTATGACAAAATGGAACCCACCAGCAGTGTGAGGAGACCTGAAAGTGGCACATGGCAGAGTGGCGCGATGGAGACAGCAGCAATGGGAGGCCGTACAGGGACCCATGACACACTGTGGACCTGGCAGCAGCATGAGGAGGCGGTACAGGGGCCCATGGCAGATTACGGGCCTGGCAGCAGCAATGGGAGGCCCGTAATCTGCCAGCACCCTATGACAAAAAATGGAAACACCAGCAGTGTGAGGAGACCTGAAAGTGGCACATGGCAGAGTGTGGCGATGGAGACAGCAGCAATGGGAGGCCGTACAGGGACCCATGACACACTGTGGACCTGGCAGCAGCATGAGGAGGAGGCGGTACAGGGGGCCCATGGCAGATTACGGGCCTGGGCAGCAGCAATGGAGGCCCGTAATCTGCCAGCACCCTATGACAAAAATGGAACCCACCAGCAGTGTGAGGAGACCTGAAAGTGGCACATGGCAGAGTGTGGCGATGGAGACAGCAGCAATGGGAGGCCGTACAGGGACCCATGACACACTGTGGACCTGGCAGCAGCATGAGGAGGGCGGTACAGGGGCCCATGGCAGATTACGGGCCTGGCAGCAGCAATGGGAGGCCCGTAATCTGCCAGCACCCTATGACAAAATGGAACCCACCAGCAGTGTGAGGAGACCTGAAAGTGGCACATGGCAGAGTGTGGCGATGGAGACAGCAGCAATGGGAGGCCGTACAGGGACCCATGACACACTCTGGACCTGGCAGCAGCATGAGGAGGCGGTACAGGGGCCCATGGCAGATTACGGGCCTGGCAGCAGCAATGGGAGGCCCGTAATCTGCCAGCACCCTATGACAAAAAATGGAACCCACCAGCAGTGTGAGGAGACCTGAAAGTGGCACATGGCAGAGTGTGGCGATGGAGACAGCAGCAATGGGAGGCCGTACAGGGACCCATGACACACTGTGGACCTGGCAGCAGCATGAGGAGGCGGTACAGGGGCCCATGGCAGATTACGGGCCTGGCAGCAGCAATGGGAGGCCCGTAATCTGCCAGCACCCTATGACAAAAAGGAACCCACCAGCAGTGTGAGGAGACCTGAAAGTGGCACATGGCAGAGTGTGGCGATGGAGACAGCAGCAGCAATGGGAGGCCGTACAGGGACCCATGACACACTGTGGACCTGGCAGCAGCATGAGGAGGCGGTACAGGGGGCCCATGGCAGATTACGGGCCTGGGCAGCAGCAATGGGAGGCCCGTAATCTGCCAGCACCCTATGATGCAAAATGGAACCCACCAGCAGTGTGAGGAGACCTGAAAGTGGCACATGGCAGAGTGTGGCGATGGAGACAGCAGCAATGGGAGGCCGTACAGGGACCCATGACACACTGTGGACCTGGCAGCAGCATGAGGAGGGCGGTACAGGGGCCCATGGCAGATTAGGGGCCTGGCAGCAGCAATGGGAGGCCCGTAATCTGCCAGCACCCTATGACAAAATGGAACCCACCAGCAGTGTGAGGAGACCTGAAAGTGGCACATGGCAGAGTGTGGCGATGGAGACAGCAGCAATGGGAGGCCGTACAGGGACCCATGATGAAGACACACTGGACCTGGCAGCAGCATGAGGAGGCGGTACAGGGGCCCATGCAGATTACGGGCCTGGCAGCAGCATGAGGAGCGGTGGGTACAGGGGCCCGCAATTACGGGCCTGGCAGCAGCAACCCTATACAGCACCCTATGACAAAATGGAACCCACCAGCAGTGTGAGGAGACCTGAAAGTGGCACATGGCAGAGTGTGGCGATGGAGACAGCAGCAATGGGAGGCCGTACAGGGACCCATGACACACTCTGGACCTGGCAGCAGCAGCATGAGGAGGCGGTACAGGGGCCCATGGCAGATTACGGGCCTGGCAGCAGCAATGGGAGGCCCGTAATCTGCCAGCACCCTATGACAAAATGGAACCCACCAGCAGTGTGAGGAGACCTGAAAGTGGCACATGGCAGAGTGTGGCGATGGAGACAGCAGCAATGGGAGGCCGTACAGGGACCCATGACACACTCTGGACCTGGCAGCAGCATGAGGAGGCGGTACAGGGGCCCATGACAGATTACGGGCCTGGCAGCAGCATGAGGAGTCGGTACGGGGGCCCATGGCAGATTACGGGCCTGGCAGCAGCAATGGGAGGCCCTACAGCACCCTATGACAAAATGGAACCCACCAGCAGTGTGAGGAGACCTGAAAGTGGCACATGGCAGAGTGTGGCGATGGAGACAGCAGCAATGGGAGGCCGTACAGGGACCCATGACACACTGTGGACCTGGCAGCAGCATGAGGAGAGGCGGTACAGGGGCCCATGGCAGATTACGGGCCTGGCAGCAGCAATGGGAGAGGGGCCCGCAATACGGGCCTGCAGCAGCACCCTATGACAAAATGGAAACCCACCAGCAGTGTGAGGAGACCTGAAAGTGGCACATGGCAGAGTGTGGCGATGGAGACAGCAGCAATGGGAGGCCGTACAGGGACCCATGACACACTGTGGACCTGGCAGCAGCATGAGGAGGCGGTACAGGGGCCCCCCATGGCAGATTACGGGCCTGGCAGCAGCAATGGGAGGCCCGTAATCTGCCAGCACCCTATGACAAAATGGAACCCACCAGCAGTGTGAGGAGACCTGAAAGTGGCACATGGCAGAGTGTGGCGATGGAGACAGCAGCAATGGGAGGCCGTACAGGGGACCCATGACACACTGTGGACCTGGCAGCAGCATGAGGAGGCGGTACAGGGGCCCATGGCAGATTACGGGCCTGGCAGCAGCATGGGAGGCCCGTAATCTGCCAGCACCCTATGACAAAATGGAACCCACCAGCAGTGTGAGGAGACCTGAAAGTGGCACATGGCAGAGTGTGGCGATGGAGACAGCAGCAATGGGAGGCCGTACAGGGACCCATGACACACTGTGGACCTGGCAGCAGCATGAGAGGCGGTACAGGGGCCCATGGCAGATTACGGGCCTGGCAGCAGCAATGGGAGGCCCGTAATCTGCCAGCACCCACACCCTATGACAAAATGGAACCCACCAGCAGTGTGAGGAGACCTGAAAGTGGCACATGGCAGAGTGTGGCGATGGAGACAGCAGCAATGGGAGGCCGTACAGGGACCCATGACACACTCTGGACCTGGCAGCAGCATGAGGAGGCGGTACAGGGGCCCATGGCAGATTACTGGGCCTGGCAGCAGCAATGGGAGGCCCGTAATCTGCCAGCACCCTATGACAAAATGGAACCCACCAGCAGTGTGAGGAGACCTGAAAGTGGCACATGGCAGAGTGTGGCGATGGAGACAGCAGCAATGGGAGGCCGTACAGGGACCCATGACACACTCTGTGGACCTGGCAGCATGAGGAGGCGTGAGGAGGCGGTACAGGGGCCCATGGCCCATGGCAGATTACGGGCCTGGCAGCAGCAATGGGAGGCCCGTAATCTGCCAGCACCCTATGACAAAATGGAACCCACCAGCAGTGTGAGGAGACCTGAAAGTGTGCACACATGGCAGAGTGTGGCGATGGAGACAGCAGCAATGGGAGGCCGTACAGGGGACCCATGGCAGACTACTGGACCTGGCAGCAGCATGAGGAGCGGTACAGGGGCCCATGACAGATTAGTGGCCTGGCAGCAGCATGCAGCAGCAACGGGGCCCATGACAGATGACGGGCCTGGCAGCAGCATGAGGAGTCGGTACGGGGGCCCATGGCAGATTACGGGCCTGGCAGCAGCAATGGGAGGCCCGTAATCTGCCAGCACCCTATGACAAAATGGAACCCACCAGCAGTGTGAGGAGACCTGAAAGTGGCACATGGCAGAGTGTGGCGATGGAGACAGCAGCAATGGGAGGCCGTACAGGGACCCATGACACTCTGGACCTGGCAGCAGCATGAGGAGGCGGTACAGGGGCCCATGACAGATTACGGGCCTGGCAGCAGCATGAGGAGGCGGTACGGGGGCCCATGGCAGATTACGGGCCTGGCAGCAGCAATGGGAGGCCCGTAATCTGCCAGCACCCTATGACAAAATGGAACCCACCAGCAGTGTGAGGAGACCTGAAAGTGGCACATGGCAGAGTGTGGCGATGGAGACAGCAGCAATGGGAGGCCGTACAGGGACCCATGACACACTCTGGACCTGGGCAGCATGCATGAGGAGGCGGTACAGGGGCCCATGGCAGATTACGGGCCTGGCAGCAGCAATGGGAGGCCCGTAATCTGCCAGCACCCTATGACAAAATGGAACCCACCAGCAGTGTGAGGAGACCTGAAAGTGGCACATGGCAGAGTGTGGCGATGGAGACAGCAGCAATGGGAGGCCGTACAGGGACCCATGACACACTGTGGACCTGGCAGCAGCATGAGGAGGCGGTACAGGGGCCCATGGCAGATTACGGGCCTGGCAGCAGCAATGGGAGGCCCGTAATCTGCCAGCACCCTATGACAAAATGGAACCCACCAGCAGTGTGAGGAGACCTGAAAGTGGCACATGGCAGAGTGTGGCGATGGAGACAGCAGCAATGGGAGGCCGTACAGGGACCCATGACACACTCTGGACCTGGCAGCAGCATGAGGAGGCGGTACGGGGCCCATGGCAGATTACGGGCCTGGCAGCAGCAATGGGAGCCCGTAATCTGCCAGCACCCTATGACAAAATGGAACCCACCAGCAGTGTGAGGAGACCTGAAAGTGGCACATGGCAGAGTGTGGCGATGGAGACAGCAGCAATGGGAGGCCGTACAGGGACCCATGACACACTGTGGACCTGGCAGCAGCATGAGGAGGGGGTACAGGGGCCCATGACAGATTACGGGCCTGGCAGCAGCATGAGGAGTCGGTACGGGGGCCCATGGCAGATTACGGGCCGGGCCAATGGGGCCATACAGCACCCAATGGGATGCCTAAAGTACAGCACCCTATGGACAAAATGGAACCCACCAGCAGTGTGAGGAGACCTGAAAGTGGCACATGGCAGAGTGTGGCGATGGAGACAGCAGCAATGGGAGGCCGTACAGGGACCCATGACACACTGTGGACCTGGCTAAGCAGCATGAGGAGGCAGTACAGGGGCCCATGACAGATTACGGGCCTGGCAGCAGCATGAGGAGTCGGTACGGGGCCCATGGCAGATTACGCGGGCCTGGCAGCAGCAATGGGAGGCCATACTGCCAGCACCCTATGACAAAATGGAACCCACCAGCACTGTGAGGAGACCTGAAAGTGGCACATGGCAGAGTGTGGCGATGGAGACAGCAGCAATGGGAGGCCGTACAGGGACCCATGACACAGGGGTCTGGACCTGGCATGCAGCATGAGGAGGCCGTACAGGGGCCCATGACAGATTACGGGCCTGCAGCAGCATGAGGAGTCGGTACGGGGGCCCATGGCAGATTACGGGCCTGGCAGCAGCAATGGGAGGCCCGTAAATCTGCCAGCACCCTATGACAAAATGGAACCCACCGCAGTGTGAGGAGACCTGAAAGTGGCACATGGCAGAGTGTGGCGATGGAACAGCAGCAATGGTGGGAGGCCGTACAGGGACCCATGACAACTCTGGACCTGGCAGCAGCATGGAGGAGTAGCGGTACAGGGGCCCATGGCAGATTACGGGCCTGGCAGCAGCAATGGGAGGCCCGTAATGCGGGCACCCTATGGCAAAACGGGAACCTGGCACCAGCAGCAATGGGAGACCAGTGAAAGTGGCACATGGGCAGAGTTGGCGATGGAGACAGCAGCATGGAGAGGCCGGTACAGGGACCCATGAACACTTGGACGGGCCTGGCAGCAGCATGAGGAGGCGGTACTTGGGGCCCATGGCAGATTACGGGCCTGGCACAGCAAATGGGAGGCCCCGTTAATCTGCCAGCACCCAATGACAAAATGGAACCCACCAGCATGTGAGGAGACCTGGAAATGTGGCACATGGCAGAGTTGTGGCGTTGGAACACAGCAGCACATGTGGAGGCCGTTACAGGGCATGACACACTTGTGGACCGTTGGCACGTCCATGAGGTGTTGCTTGTGTGTTTTTAACAGGGGCCATTGACAGTTTAAAAAGCCTGGACAACCTGTCTAGCAGTGTGAAGGAGGGGTGACAAGTCGGGCAATTAGGGCACAATGGCAGCAGCAATGGCGAGGACGTGATCTATGGACCACTCTCTGGACCTCGGATGCCAGGGCAGAATAGAGGACAGCTTGTACTGGGACCTCATGACAAGAGCTCTGAGATCCTGTGGCAGCGAGCAGTGAGGTCATACGACTCGAGTAGGGGGCCCATGGCATGTATTACGTAGGCCTGGAATGCAGCAATCAAGGAAAGGCCCGTAATCTATGCCAGCACCCTATGACAAAATGGAAGCTCCACCAAGCAGTGTGAGGAGACCTGAATAGTGGCACATGGCCAGAGAGTTGTGGCGATTGGAGACAGCACAATGGGAGCCGTACAGGGACCCCATGGAACACACTCTGGACCTGGCAGCAGCAAGGAAGGAGGCGGTACAGAGGGCCCATGGCAGAGTTGGCGAAGCGTAGTCAGCTTAAATTGAAGGCCATACAGAGGCCTATGTTAAAAATAATAACCAACATTTTGTGTTTGGGCATGATTCATGGCCGGATTTAGTCAGTTGTTTGTGATCAGGAACTGGTGGTTTGAAATCCAGACTAATCCACGCCCCCGGTTTTCCTGATTTCCTATTTTCACAAACGTGAGTCTCTCCACAACTTGGGGTGGACAGTCGTGTCCTCCCGCGGAGTTTACAATACCTCCTGTCCGCACTAAAAACACAGCGCTCCGATGCCAATTGACGCTACTGGGGCCGAGGCAATGACAGCCTTTCAAGGGCAAATTCAGCTAGTTGGGGCCAAAGGTCAAGTTTTCGTTGCCCAGTAGTCAAGGGGATTGTCTACCTCGGTTGGCAGGGTGCTGTCCTAGTAGGCCCGAGCATGTTGTTTGAGGTCCCTGCTCCAGTCCCCCTGATGCATGCTGCGGCTGGTATATAGTTTCCTCACGTTTGCGACTCCTGGTGAAGAAAGCTACTCATCATCGACTGCAGACTGAGCAGCCGCTGCTGGTGGAGCTGCCACGGCTCC